GGGTTCTGATATTAGTCAATAGACCTCAAGTTAATGTTGTTTTGCACATAGTACAGAAAAACAAATTTTTTCTTTCTTTCTTAAAACTAACTATCATTATGCTATCCTCTTAATCAAACGTGCAAGCCACTGAATAAATATATCCCAATAGTACATAATTATTTGAGAATCTAGTTGATAAAAAATTTAATACCAAGGTAGTATTTTTTTCCCCCCACAAATTACTATGGGTACTTCTGATGTTGATTTCAATGTTACTTCTGATAGTCATCTCTCTATTTTATATCACTGAACAAATAAGTTTCTTAATGGTTATTGGCTTTGTAAATTTTCACATTAATTGTCCTCAAAATCTTCTTGAAAGACCACACTTTAAAAATTGTGTTTGGATGAAAATAGACCTCTAATTCAGTTCTTCTTAAAAAATCATCTTCATAAAATTCCTAGCAATGCCTCTAAAAAAATTGAACCTTTTAATTATTTTTAACCTTTATGATTAGAAAGATAATTAGAGTTTTGCTCCTTGCTAGTAAGGTCATTAAGTCAAGACTTGTGTATATTTTACATTTAGCACGATTAATGTTTTGATTTGATGTTATTTTATTTCCCAAACTTGTATTTTGCAAGTTTTGGATTTTTCAATACATTGTTAATTTAGAAGCGTTGGCGCTTTACCTGAAAAGCAAAGAAATTTTACAAACATGTAGAAAATAGAAAGATTAACAACTTTTTTGGAAAAATTGACAGTATAAGTTTAACAATACTATTTGATAACAACGAGCAATAAAACAATATTCAATCAGAATTTTATGATGAAACATTCCATTTTTAGTATGGCAACATTTCATCGCCTTTTACTTTTGCCATAGGGCTAAGGCTCCTCGCCTTATGACAGCATTTTCTCCTAATTTTTTGAGGGTGATTGCCACCTTCCTTTACTTGAGTATCTTGTAGACTATTGTATCAATCAAGAAATCATCCTTCAAGTTACTTGGTGTTTTCTCTTCCTCAAGTCCTTCCTACTCCCACTGGTATTTTTGAAATAGTTGGTGCTCTCCATGGCTGGTTGAGGTGTGGATTCACAAGCTGCCAAGAAAAAGAATTTCAAAAACCTAAAATTGATGAGATACAAAATACAAACTCAGATTAGTGCAAAAAAAAAAAAAAGGATCATTCTTTTAAACTTACCTCCACGAATAATACTAGACGAAGATTGAATAACTGGAGTCGACGTAGGAGGTAGAACAAGAGTTTGTGATGGAGTTTGCACAGGATCTAACCCATGAGCTGGCTCCTGAGTTTGTGAAAATGCTGAGCATAAATCAAAATCCTGCATTAGCATCTCACAAAAGTTTGTACAAAATGTTTTCACCATACTCTAAATAAAGAGAAAAAGAAACTCCTACTGATGATGCTAGTAGAGAAGAGAGTAACAAATGATAAAAGACTGGATTTGCCAAATGCCCAAACTTAACGCAGGCATATGTAGAGAAAATCGTGCAAGAGATGATCTAGTGATAGAATTTAGCCTCTATAACAAAGAAAGCTAAGAGAAACTATGCAGAAGTTGTGCAAACACAGAAGCTAGCGCAATCTCTCAAAAACATTGATATCTCAGCTCCATGTCCATTTATCGTGAAATTCGAACATGTTCACAACTCATTGTTTTTCAACCAATCAAACTGATATAAGTTAGCGTATAGAACCACCCCAACGACGAACAAGGCAGGTCACTACACATCGACGTGAAGCCATTGACCCCTCGGGGGCGCTCTACCTTTACCCGAGGCCATCGACCCCTTGAGGGGCGCTCTACCTCTATGCGAAACCATCGACCCCCCGGGGCGCTCTACCTTTACGCGAGGCCATCTACTCTCCAGGAGCGCTCTACCTCTACGCGAGACCATAGACCCCTCGGGGGCACTTTACCTTTACGCGAGGTCATCTACTCCCCGGAAGTAACTTATGTGGCCACCCCAACACTTAGTCAAAAAACTTAGGTAAATTGACTAAGCTCCATGGTGGTTATTATGGGCACAACCTTTAGGCGAGAAGTTAGAGATCCCCCAGGAGAATGTGGGTTAGTGGGAAAGCCAACGTGGGACACGTGGCACATAATTGCTCGACACTCACCCGGCTTCCAGCACCTATAAATACCCCTGAAGACGACACAAGTAAGGGAATTTTTGGACATTTTCTAGCTATCTGAATTCCATCCTTATTTCTCCTGAAGCATATACTGATTCTCACACCAGAGGTAAAACGGGGGAGAAAGCCCCGCCCTTACTTTTTAGGTTATACATGTTTGCCGGAGTAGCAGGAACGCCACTGACCACCAGGTAGATTAAGAGGTATTATTTTACAACCATTTCATTGGCGCCATCTGTGGAAAGTTTCTTCCATTGAACACCAAAGCCATGTCAAGAAGACAAACAAGAAGTGACACGCGCTTGAGAGTAGCAACGGCGGAGACGGAGTTGGAATCAGTCGCTAGGGGCCCCAACCCGCCAATGTCATTGCAGTATGTGACACAAAGCCAGTTCAGCACCCTGGAGACCCAGCTGGCGGCTATGATGACCCTTTTGCAGAGTAAAACGCGGGGAGCCACCCTCCCGCCTCCCAGGAGGCGCACATAGAAATCCCGACTGTCATCCAACTGGTAACTGTAGGCTCGGGGGCTCTAGGGGTTACGATCTTGCAGCCTAACCCACCCATGGCGGATCTGGAATGGAAGATGGAGGAGATTATGACACAAAAAATAGATTATACAATATCAAAGAGAAAGGATAAGCGTAGGCAGATGGTTTTAGAAGAGGACCCATTCGCTCTTGAAATTATGGCAATCCCCTTGCCTAAGGGCTTCAAGCAGCCTATGATAGAAGCTTATGACAGGGTTAGAGACCTACTTGACCATCTTCGGACCTTCGTTGATTTAATGAGGCTCTATGCAATACCCGATGCAGTCATGTGTCGATCTTTTTCCCCGACCCTCAGGCAAGAAGCCAAAAATTGGGTGGCGACACTTGCCCCCGATCTATCCGAATGTTTGATAAACTTTTCAGAAGTTTTGTGGCCTAATTCCTAAGTAGTAAAAGAAAGAGGAAGATGGCCATCGGGCTGATGCAGGTGGTCCAGGAGAAGGATGAGTCTCTGCAAGAGTATCTGGCCAGATTCAGCCAAGCGACCCTTGGAATAGAGGATCTTCAGATGTCAGCAGTGGTAACTGCGTTGATGAACGGAACCCGAAATCGAGCCTTCAAAATTTCACTTTCCAGGAATCCCTAGAGTCAATGTACAACCTATTGAAAAAGGGAGACAAGTATGTTGATACTGAAGAAGCAGAGAAGGTCAGAAAACATCTCAGAGAGGGATGGGAAATGGAAAGTCACAAGTGAAAGATGGGAGACGAGCTGAGATCTGCCAACAAAAATAAACCAAGGAGTGAGCAGACGGTAAGGGAACTATCCAAGATCGGCAAGTCAGGCAAAAACGGGAGGAGCCCAGGACGTTCACCCCTTTAAACACCCCGCGTGTGAAGTTATTGATGGAGATACGAGATATGAAGGAGCTTGAATGGCTAAGGCCCATGGCAACGCCACCCGGTAAGAGAAACTAAGGTAGATACTGTCATTTCCATAAGGATCACGGGCACAATATGGAAGAGTGCCTGCAGCTGAAAGAGGAGATCAAGCGCCTCTTGAGACTAGGACTCTTTGGAAAATATGTGAAGGACAATCGGGGTAAACAAAAAGTGGAGGACTACCCCCCGCCTAGGGCGAGAGTGATGAAAGTGATTGCAGGGGGGTTAGCAGGAGGCAGAGATTCAAACTTGGCAAGGAAAAGCTAGCGCATTCTCTTGGGATCTGTTTCATCCAAAGGAAAGCAAGGTTTAGTCAGAATATCACTTTTGGCGAGGAGGATTTGGTAGGTTAGCACACCCCCATGATGATGCCTTGGTGATAGTAGGCGACATAGCTGATTTTGATGTCAAGAGGGTGCTGGTTGATGGGGGGAAGCGCTACAAATGTACTTACATGGGATGCTTGTTTGGGCTTAAAGATCCCCCGTGACAAGTTGAAAGTCGTAACCACCCCACTACAGGGCTGTGGAGGGGCCACAATAATTTCGGAAGGGACCGTAGAGCTCCCTGTCATGCTCGGCACATATCCGATCGCTATGGTAATTATGGCAAGCTTCTTAGTTGTAAAAACTCCCATGGCATATCATGTGATCTAAGGTCGGCCATTGCTGAACGCAACTGGAGCCATCCCCTCGACCTATCACCAGGTCATGAAATTCCCAACCAGCAGAGGAGTCGGGCGTGTTCGAGGAGACCAGCAAGCATCCAGGAAATGTTATGTCGACGGTATATCAATGAAGAGAGCACCATCGATCATGATGTTGGAGGATGAACCTCCGAAGGGAGGACGAATATTTAGCATTTGAGCCGGTTTGGAATCTAATGAAAAAGGAAAGTTGGTAAGGTGCCTGGCAGATAACCTAGATATCTTCGCATGGAGCCCGAACGACATTATTGGGATCAACCCAGTCATCGCTCAACATATCCTTGACGTCCTCCCCAGAGCTAAACTAGTAAAATAGAAAAAGAGGAACCTCGTCCTCGAAAGGCAGGAAGTGGCAAAAGCAGAGGCGGAAAAGCTACTACAAGTTGGTTTTATTCGGGAGGTGTAGTACCCTGAGTGGTTAGCCAACGTCGTGTTAGTGAAGAAGTCAAACGGAAAATGGCACATGTGTGTAGATTACACCGGGCTTAACAAAGCATGCCCAAAGGACTCATACCCACTCCCTGAATAGACCACCTGGTTGACGCCACGTCAGGTCATGAAAGACTTAGTTTCCTGGATGCATTTTTTGGGAACCATCAAATCTCTATGGCTGAGCCCGACTAGGAAAAGCCACCATTTATCACAGATTTCGGGACATATTGTTACATGGCCATGCCGTTCGGCCTAAAAAATGCAAGAGCCACCTATCAAAGGATGGTGAATAGAGTCTTTCGGGAGCTGATTGAAAATGTCATAGATGCCTATGTCGACGACATGGTAGTGAAAAGTGTCAAGACAATCGATCATGTGGCTTGTCTACAGAAGGTATTTGATGTGGTCCGACACAATAACTTGAAGTTCAACCCGGAGAAGTGTGTCTTCGGTATTGCCAGCGGGAAGTTCCTAGGCTTCATGATCACCCAAAGAAGAATTAAGGTAAACCCTAACAAAATATAGGCGATACTAGAAATGAAGAGCCCCACTAGTAAGAAGGAGGTTCAGCGACTGACAGGGTGCGTGGCGACCCTCAATTGCTTCATAAGTCGGGCGACGGACAAGTGCTACCACTTCTTTAAAGCCATAGGGGCCTCCACTAATTTTGAGTAGACTCAAGAGTTCAAAGAATCACTGGAATCCTTAAAAAAGTCACTACAGCGGCCTCCAATTCTGACCAACCTATGCTCGGGTGATGTACTATGTCTCTACCTTGTGGCATCACCACGGGCAGTTAGCGCCGTTCTTGTGAAAGAACTCCCAAAGGCACAAAAATCAATCTACTACGTCAGTCAGGTCCTTAAAGGCACAGAGACAAGGTACAGTCTGGCCGAACAGCTGGTGCTCGTGTTGATTGTTGCAGCAAGGAAGCCTAGACCTTACTTTCAATCCCATGCAGTGCAAGTAATAACTGACCAACCTATCAAGCAGATCCTACATCGACCGAAAATCTTCGGGAGATTACAGAAATGGGCGATCGAAATAAATGAGTTTAACATTGAATTTAGGCCCACAACAGCCATCAAAGCACAGGCTCTGGCAGACTTCATTATCGAGCTCACCACCCCGATAGAGCCCCCAAAAGGGCAGTAGGCAGATGAAAAATCTTTGTAGACCGTTCCTCGAATACAGAGGGATCAGGAGCAGGAATCATAATAATCGGACCAGACTCTGAAGAATTGGAATACTCGCTGTGCTTTGAGTTCCTTGCTACCAATAACGACGTCGAATATGAGGCAGTCATCACAGGCTTAGGTTTGGCAACAAGGCTGGGAGTGGCTTCAGTAGAGGTATGTAGTGACTCAAAGCTAATAGTAGGGCAGGTATCAGGAGAGTACGAAGTAAAGGATGGGAGGATGGCAGGATACCTAATTAAAGTAAGGGATTTGCAAAGAGGGTTCGCAAGCTTTAAGATGGTGAAGGTCTCACGAAGAGATAATGAGCGCGCAGATGTACTAGCAAAGCTCGCATAAGCCAACCTAAAAAAGTTGCCTCGGACAGTGAGTGTGCAAGTCCTACAACAACCCAGCATTCAGTGCTGGGCCGAGGTGAAGAATATTGAACACGAGGAAAGTTGGATGGATCCGATAATTAAATATCTAGCAGAAGATATGGTGCCGAAAGACCCCCTAGAGGCGAGGAGATTGAAAGCTCGAGCAACTTCATTTACCATCATCGATGGACAACTCTACAATCAGGGTTTTACCTTGCCATATCTGAAATACATACGCCCGTCGAAGCCAAATAGATACTGTTTGAGGTACATGCCGGGACCTGTGGTAACCACCAGGGGACAACTACCTTTTCCTTCAAAATTCTACGTCAGGGATACTATTGGCCAACTATGAAAGAGGATGCCAAAGAGTTGGTGTGAAAATGTGACACATGCCAGAGTTATGGGAATTTGAATCCAGGCTTGGCCATAAGAAAGTAGTGTACACATACCATCTAATGACATTTGTGGGAAAAGTTTTCCTTCAAGAAAATCTTTCGTTGGGAACATGCATTCCCATCACAAGTTTTTCTTGATCCACCTTTTCACGAAGTGCATAGCCCCAGGAACACTAGGCCTTTTATCCAATGAATATACCTATACACAATGAACTACGTCCTTGTTGCATTTTCTCTTGGAGAGATGTTTGGGAACCTACTTGTTTTCCTTCCCTAAGAATGTGAGATTGCCTAGCTTTTGAAAAAGGAACTTAACTTCCATATCCTGAATCTTCTTTCCAAGTGAGGAGCACATTGACTAGAGCAATAACCACAGGTTGGCAGTTTGGAAATAATTTTCCAAGAAAAAAATATCCAAATACTTCCATCTAACTTTTCTACAAAAACTCAAAGCCTTCTCTGAGAACAAATTTAATGTTCCAAACTTTTCCTTGAGCTTTTCTGCTGTTACCTGTCAAATTATCCACTTAGGCCATCTCCAATGTATGACCCAAAACACCAAAATGCACCATTTTTTGGTGCCAAACAACTCCAATGCAACACAATACCAATTTGCACCATTTTGGTGCAAAGTGTACAAAGTCGTTTTTATATTTTCTTTTCATTTCCCAAATAAATTGATTAAGGGTAGTTGTGTTATTTGTGCTATATATTTTTTAATACAATAAATTATTATTATTATTTGCATTTAAAAAATTTAAGTGTAAAAAATAATTATTAATCAATTAATTAAAAAAGAAAAAAAATTTAAAATATAACAAATCCGATTATTTGCACTTCAAAATGCATTAATCGATTAATTGTGGGATGAACATATAAATTCCAAGAAGTAAATTGCAATAATATTTTGACTTCGTAATATCGTAATATCCTAATTTGAAATGCATTGCACAATTTTTTAATGGCATGACTTAATATTTTCATTGTTGCAGTATTTTTATTAATTGTACTATTTTTTAATATTTATTAATGAATTTAATCTTTTCCGTAACTTAACGTAATTATTTATTTAGTAATTTATGTATTTATAAAATAATTAAATAAATAATATTTCAGACAAATAAATTATTAAGAATAAAAAATGGAAGAAAATGGTTAAATTCTGTTCATTTGGTGTAATGGTTGGAGATGAATTTTAGATTGGTGCAAAATTTGGTGCAAGGCTCGAGATAGTCTTATGATACTAAATGAAGTCCATCAAACATATATAAGTGCTTTTTGTCAGACTATATTTTCTTGGTACGAAAGCTGCTCGCCAGCAATTACATGTTTAACAAAGTAATTACTTTTCTTAATTAAATAGTATTAGGAACACGGTTTTATGCTTGTTTAAATATTGACGAAAAGAGTCTTTGGACTTATCTTGATGCCTTCCAAAAATTCTAAGATCCAATTTCAATTTTCGAATCAACAAGTCTACTGAACACATTTTTTCATTGTGTTTCACTACGTCGTTCTAAATTGTTGGGAAAAATTGGTGATTTGTGTATAGATATTTATCAATTATCACAACAATAATATAAACATAAACATAAGTAGAGAGTTAGAAAAACAAGTTTTAGGGAGTCATGTCAAGAATGCTATCCTAAAGTCTTGTTGCCTCTCATTCGTGCAAGTACTTTTGGCACTACACAACATAAGTTAAAACTTATATGATTCACATTTGATTCTCCTTCCGAGTACGACCACAAAGACATAAAGAACAAGCCTTTATCGAATTATCAAAAGTATAAGGATATAGTATGGAAATGTAGAAAATATAATCTTTCAACTTATTTTTTTCTAGTTTTATTTTTGAATGAAATATCGCTTCCTTTTATAGGTGAATATCAACCCCCACAATTAAACTATTAAAATATAAGTTACAATATGAATTATGATATTTTTTATTTTGTGTTAAATTGAAAATTAAATCAAAAAACAGAAAATTAAATGGTTTTAATATTGAAGGGTTGAAACTTTATTTTTATGTCGCAACAATCCCTCACAAGTTTTAAACTCTCAAAACACACGTGCGCACACACATATATATTGGCAATGTTATACTGTAAATTAGGTGTAAGTGTCTTTTGGACTTGAATCTTGCATAGTGATAACAATTTCTATTTGAGAGAGCCATAACGGACTAAACCTTAAATTAGATCATTTTGGCCAAACTTCAATTGCCCCACACACAGTATCATTTAGGCTCTCATTCATAGCAGATAACGCTTTTAATGGCCATTTTCTCTAATCTTGATTCTAGTAAGAGTTTTTAGAGAGTAATCAAATTCCATAGCCTCAACCTTATGGCAACTTTTACATAGATAAGTCTTCCAAGGATGCGTGCATTCCACACCTCACGAGAATTCTCGCTTTAATACTCATTCAGGGTTAAACCCTTTCTGAAGTCACATTATTATTAGCATTATAAGGGATGAGTACAAATAATATAATGCAATTACAAGTTCGGGTTGTTTCTACTACATTAAACCTTGTTCATGGAATCTCCTATTACAAATGTTGGGTTCCCTAAGTTGACTCCCTTATGGGCTTATGCCCATCCCCTGGATGATTTACACATGTCCATCTCAAACTAAAATTTATTTCTTTCCCTCTTACACAATAATATGGTACCATCAGTTTTCAAAGATCTTATTCTTCTCTTGCACATTTGCATGTCTACAAAGTTACCGAATAACTTTTTCAAAATGTCAATATCACACTTAATTATAATAAAATAACTTCATCAATTCTCTTATGTTGAATTCTAGTAACATGTTTGAGTAGATACATCCAATGTAACTCTAATATTTCACATGCAATCTTCAATTTCATTTTTGACACTTTTCGAATGTCAAATTTACAATATAATTTTATATATATTTAAAATTTTTAAATACCCCCACATTTTCAAAGATATCAAACTTGACATGATTAAGTATATGATCTCTATTGATGTTGACATAGAGGCCATCTTTCTTGACCCCTTCGATGGCAAGGAGTGCTCCTTTACTCACCTGCATGAACCATTAATATTGTTTTCAGATCCTGTTTATTGACGTTGTTATCTAAAATCAAATTTTCAAGTATGTGTCAACAAAAGGAAAGAAACTTGTAGGAACAAGTAGAATGGAGTCCAGGAACAAATCAAATATATATGCTAGCATCTTGTTTTACAAATATATGATGTAGTAAATTTCAGATAATAGTTGGCAATTTCAACGTCACTCAACTCCCTTTTGTTCAAAATGGGTCATCCAACTATAATTTTGTTTTTTTTTTAAAGTTTATCATCTCGTTAAGTCTATGTTACAACAATTAACAGGAATGTGACATGTCACATTATCAGATATTTAATAATTAACCTACTACTGAAGTCCAACAGTCAAAATCAAAACATTAATTCCCAGAAAATACATATTAGAAATTATATATGTTTTGAAATCAAACTAGTATTTACAATTTTGCAACTCCAAAATAAAAATCTAATAAACCTGAAAATAATTAAATCCCAAATAATTAGAAATATGACGAAAATTAAAAGCTTTTGAAATTTACAACAATACTATTGTTGTGTCATTTCCGGTCCAATTATTAAATTAACATTTCGAGGTGGGAAAACTTTTCAAAAAGCTTTTGACTATGAGAATATATTGGTGTTGTAGACACCATTCCGCTGGTTCATTTGTCAAATAACAAATTATCGATTTCACCTTTTGCAAATAAATTTGAAAGCATATATGTAGTTAAAACTATCTACTCCCACAATGTACAGCAAATCTTAATATATCTATCCCAAAAATAGTCCTGAAAGAAGACAGAGACTTGATCCGATGGATAGTCTTAAGCAGCAAATAGCTCAACACATTTATCACAATACATACATATATAAGAAGAAATTATACAAGTAGAGGTCACTTTCAAATTTTTGGACAACCACTGTTCAATGCCATACTAGGACCAAAATACAAATGAAAATGGCAGCTCTCTATTTGAGGGTAATGATTATGGGATAAACTTTTCAAAGTTCTCACTGAACCAATGCATGCATAAATTCAAAACATCAAAGTTTATTTTAGTGTCTAACAAGCCTTTCCAGTTGACCACTGATGTGGCAAAATATCCAAAAGAACACTGTGGGGGAAATGCAGTGAATTTGATACCACGGATATAATTAACCATAAAATTCTTAGATTCTGAACCTTTTGATTTTGATTTTTAATAGTCTAGTTTCACCATTGGTTCAAGCCAATTTTTACATTACTGCAAATGAGCACTAGAAATAAGAGGTATTCTATTATCACAAGCCCATCCATGCTGTATGAGTTCAAATGACCTAACTGAAGCTCTTCTTTAAAATTTTCACTAAGTTTTCTTTCAAAAAACCTAAAAATAAAAAACAAAAAATAATCATGAACTCCACAATTTTGACACCAAACATATAGTCGCCTTGATAATTAGTAAAACAAATTTAATAACCACAAATAGTTTCAAAATCAAGAAAGCACAAAACGTGAAATCTCAAATGTACTTTTGTGAAAAAAAAATTCTCACACTTTCATATGTTGGGCCATACCTGTATCCTGTGTGAAACAGTGAAAATGGAATTTTAACCAACAAAGTGCAGCACAAACCACCAATAATCCAATGTCCAAAAGGGAACCACTGAATAAGTTATTGGTCCATAAGATACTGAAATGCAACAGATGCACAAAGACGGGTGCCTACATAACTCAACAACCATTTTCAAGCTTAAGATGTATATACAATTTAATCCGTGAGAAAAGCTTCTGTTAGTATGATCATAGGATGTCAGTCTCAGGCATCTTTTCCTTCACAGAAGCATAAATTGCACATGCCAACTGTAGTTCTATATAACTGGGAAATGAAGAAGCTACACACAAATAAGGACAAC